TCTTAGCACTGGATTCAACTAAGATTGTGCGTTTTTTCATGCCTCACACTGAAAGAGTACATATAATTTTTTCAAATACAGAAGCAACATCAATTTAAATTCATTTTCTTCATATGTAACTGGCCAACTCTTTATCCTATACCCAAGCAAAACATCAGACTTGGGAAGTTTTGGCAAAATTAAGCACCAGTTAAATTTACATACAAAATTAGCAAGTGCCACTTTACATTATTTCTGTTGTTTCCAGGATAATGCAATAGATCACATATTGCTTTTAATTAAAACAATTACAGAGAAAAAACTCTATATATCCTAATAAAATCACACATTCTCTTAATATTTTATTGCTTACATCACATATTTTAATTACAATTTCTTTTACTTCCCAGTCATTTTAATTTAACAATTTTTTTAGCTTCTTGTTACTGATGGGGACAGTGCTATTGTCAATGCTAACACACTGGATACTGTATTTGAAAAATAATTACATGGAATTTAAAAATGTACAGAAGTTAGTAGCTGAGTGCCATAATTTCATTCTTTATGTGCAAACATGATGGTTACTAATATTAAGAATTACAAGCTAAGAGTCCTTTGCTATTTCTTATTTAAAGGGCATACAAGAGTGATCAATTTTTAAAAAATCTCAGTAAGTTTCTCACTTGATTTAGATTTATCCAAATGCCACGATGAGCTTCTAAGATTATTTAATTCACATTTTGTCAAGAGGCTATACAATGCATTTGAACTTGAGGGTGAAGCAATATTTTGTAAAGTCTGTGAAAGCAGCTTTTTAAAATGAACTCAGCCCTTGCTTAAAAAAATCTAATATATTGTTTCTAAAAATACTTCAGTAATTTACAGAGTATATTAAAAGTGCCATGTATTCATATAAAAAGTGTGAACTAAAACAATACCAAATTAAAATGATTTATAATTTGTTTTTCATAGAAAATCCCTCTATTATTGTCTGAATTTTGAAAAAATTGTGATCAGCTGATGAGTATCTTCTGTGTAGCTGGTGCAATGAAGACATGCTTTCTTCCATGTTCTGGTGTCACACAGTTGTTGGTTTGATTCTTATGTCAATGCTCAGTTACTGCTTTGGCTGGTATGAATTAAAACAAAATGCAGTTAAATATGGTAGTGTATGCTGATGCCGACCAATATACATTTAAAAAAAAGTTGTCTACTGCAGCTCTCAGTAAGATAGGGTGCATAATTTATAGATAATTAAAACAGTACAAACAATTGCTTGATGCCCTGAAATTCTTGGAAAATATTCACTGATCTAGAAGAATCATTGGGTCCCTAATGTAATGACTAAAATGACTAGATTCTTTCCTTAACTGTGTCCCTTAAAGAGAATATAAACTTTGGGTGTGAGTTTTTGTAGTAGTTTCCTAGTACAAGTTCACTGTTGGTATCTCGGGACAATGCTTTTATTTTTGCAAAAGTTCAATGCCAGATATGGATACTCATGGAAAAGCCCCTCACTCCACGTATAGTCCGGACTGATTTTAAATGGGATTACTAGAAGAATTAGGTGCCACTCTGTCTGACCAAGGATGGTGGAATCAGCCTTCCAAATAAGAAAGGGGACTAGGCAGACATTAGTCCTCTTCCAACAGATTTTCGTGCTGTTTTCAGTGATATCAGAATAAATTTACAGCGGTCAATTGATCATTTGTGATATAGTCACCTTTTATGACCTTAAGGTCCAATATGGAAGCCACTCTGAATGGCAGTCCTAACCTAAATGGATGCATGCACATTACTGGGCCTTTCTAGAGCATTTCTAAGTATGGAGATTTCTTAACTCTAAGAAGTGTTGATCCTAAAAGTACTCCAAAAACAAAGCCATGGTAGCCAGAGACTAATTCTTTTTCAGATGCTTCAAGGGGGTAGCCGAGTTAGTCTTTACAGGATGTTCAGTCACACTTACTACTAAACTGATTTCATCTGATTTCATACAATCATATGAGAGAAAACTAACCCATCTGGAAACACAACGACAAGAAGGAATTAATAGTAAATTCTGGAGGCACAGCGGGTGTGAAATCGGGACATGGTAATGATAAATTTAACTATTAGTAAGTACCTATTTCCCATTTTCAATACAAAGAATAATACAAATACCATTGAAATGAGCAGAAAATGTTCTTTTTTAATGGTGGTGAAATAAAAGTTTTTTTAAAAAATGGAGTCCACTACACTAACAGCTAAAAACTAACCTAAATGAGGGGCAAACATCTTTCCATTAGTATAACAACATAACCGAAAAACATTGAATGCATGGGACCAAACTACTGTAATTATACAGGGTCAGACTGTCTCAAACTAATCTCTATTTGTAAGCGCTGCAAAAATGCACCTGTGTTTGTCCCCACAACGTTTCATGCAGACCCAAGACTGCCTGTGTAAAATATTTCCATTTTGGCAGATACGGTGTCCAAGAGAGGCATATGCCACTTTGCAGGCAAAAACACATGCACATTTTCAATACTGGCAATTGTTGCTGAATATGTGCCCCCAACTTTGCCAATAGCATTGATATTTCGGAGGAGAGGGAGTTGCCTCATTAAGAAGATCAAAATAACCTTTACTTATTTTTAATGTTTGGCAATTATCTTAAAGGCTCCTTCTAACAAATGTGTTAGTTCATAAGTAGCAATATTTACTGTCTGAGCGCAGAATCTTCTTATCACTGAAAATTGCACACATGCATTAATTTGATATATTTTACATGACTGTAGTAAAAAGTGTTAGTTTTTGTCCCAGTTAAACCAAAGATGTAATGAGAATTAGACATGCCAAGAGCAGTTAGTTCTTACTTTTAAGGTGTTTAGACAAATGTGTAGTGAAATCCATTGCTTAAGGGGGAGTTAGGTGGCTGTGGTACAGAAGGTGAGGGTGCTTTAGATGGGTAGGTCAACTGGTGAGCTAGAAGGGATCACACACAGGAATTAGGCAGCATAATTACACATACATATTACAACAGAGCCACCGTAACTGTCTAACAACTAAACAAACAGGAAACACTGCATCAGATTAGTAATGCAATGGGGTGTTAAAATTATTTTAGT